CTCTGAGCTATTAGTTAAGTTCTCCCCAAGCGAGCTCGATGGGCCGAATGGCCTCCTCTCGTTTGTATAGTTCTTATGTTCTTATAATACAAACAGTTTGACGGCAGTTGAGAGCTGGAGATGAGAGATTGTGCTGGAGGAGCAGTTTAGAGAGGGGGAATCAATCAAGATATTAAATTACCGGTTAAAATCACATTTCTAAATAGTAAAAGCATGAGGCCTGAACTAATACTTATATATTAATAAATTGGATTCTGTCGATGCAAAGATGTTAGAAATGATGCATCCCGACTTCATCCCAAATTGTATCCAGTGCACCGATGCGATTGGGTGAATCCTTACCCTCCTTAGAAAGGAGAATAGGACTAATGGGGAAATGAGAACAAGGGAGGCAAAAGGAACTGGGATTACACTTTGTAATGGGGATAGTAATGCAGACTGGATTGAGGAATAGGGAGTATGCACAAGAAACAGAGCTAAGAATATGATCGAATGTAAATTTATTACAGTATTGTTCGGCCAATCAGTTTTTAGGATTAGCAGTGATGGCGTTGGACTAGTCAGAGCTGTAGATAATTAAACATGTAGGATCGAGTCAAAGCACATTTGCGGAGGAGGCAGTATTGGCTTTATGAGTCTGCTCACCTTCACCGTAGTGTAGTTGCTACTCTCTTGCACATGGAGTAAAGTCCCCGTCATGCTCCGTGAGCGAAATCGGATTTCCAGACTGCTTGGGTTGGCTGGGCCGGGGGCGGGGTCCTTCACCAGGCTCCGCAGGGTCTCTGCCAATAGGATGTCACGCCTCCTTCCGGGTTTCAGAGAGTAGTCCAATCGGCCGTAGCCGTTCAGGGACAGAGCTGTGTCTGCACTCATGACTGCAGATGAACCACAGACATAGAAGCCAATGAGCTCTGAACCCAACCCCTCATGCACTAAACAGAGACATGGGTCATTGAATTCTGAACTCAGTCACTCATCTATATAAAAGAACACTGACACAGTCAATGAGGCCTGAACCCAAATATTGATGTCCCAATCACACGTCGATGCCAATGACCTCTGGACCCGGTAATTTGCATACCACACACAGATACAGGCAGATGAACTCCAAACCTAATAGATAGTTGCTTACATCTCTCACAGTACTTCCCGGTGAATCCCTCCCCACAATGGCACTGCTGCCAAGACCAGCGGTCGACACATGTGCCGCTGTGGTGACACGGCTGATTTGCACACGCTCCTTCCATCCTGGCGCATCTGTAACAATGGGTGCAGAGTTCAGCAATGAGAGCACCCTGAATGCAGGGCAGGGTCAGGCGGCGATAAAACGCTGAATGTTACTGTTAGGCAATGAAGAAGTGCTAAATGCTAAATGTCAGGAGATAGACAGGCGATGAATAGGCCAGTCAGTGAGGAGACACTAAATGCTAAATGTCAGGCAGTCATGTGTCACTGAAAGCTAAATTCTGGCCATTGAGTAAATAATAAATGACAAACATTACATATCGTGCAGCGAAGGGATGCTCAGTGCTGAACACCATGCGATGCGGCAGCACTGAATGATACACTTTAAGGCATAATATATGTTAAATGTTAGGCCGCGATGGGAGACTGAAAGCGCATGAGCCCTGTGGAGCCGCCCCCCCCCGAACCTGTCCGTGATTCCATGGGTCTCCAGGGCCTGGCCCGGCTCCAGCGGGTTCCCGTTGACGGCCAGCTCCATGACGCAGCCCACGAAGTCGTGAGCGGCGACCTGCCCCGGCCGGCGCAGGAGGGGCTCCGTGGATCGCATGCCCCCCACCGAGAGCCTGTTGGGACGCACGTCCAGCACCCTGCCAGGCACAAAGAGGCGGCGGGATCAGCGTCTCGGGCAACGACAAGGCCCACACTGGCGCTCGGGCTGCCACACACTGGCGCTGATCGACTGGCTGACAGCAGCACAATGGCCGCCGCACCCCCGCGGCACCCGCCGCTTTAACCGCAGCCTTTGCTTATGTGACAGTCGGGTCAGTCAGAATGTGCTCCACAGTTCTGCTCATTGTCCAGCTTGTCAAGGCCCTCGGACTCGGGGCCTTTCTCTCACTGAACGCTGACAGCTGTTCCGAGGCCTGTGTCTGGGCGTCCCCTTACCAGTCTCTGTGTAACGCCATGCTGCTGACCGTGCAGAATCCCGGTTCCTGGTCCTCGGTGCACTGGTCCACGGTTAGGGAAGCAGACTGGAACAGACACACAGATACAATAGGACGAAAGGAACCAAACACTCGAATGAAGTTACCCGAAATATAGAAGCTGCAACTGTTTTTTTTTTTTAACTGATGGAAAATACAAATCCAAAATGAAACTAATTTATTACAACAGGGAACTTAGCCAACAGAAGAACTATTTGGAAGTGGATAAGAAACTATTTGCTTGTGGAGACCATTTGCACGCAAGACTAATATTTCATATAAAATACTGCAGCGATCTTGCCCAAGTTCGTATGCGTTAGCCAATGTAGACAGCAGATTGGTTAACTGCGCTTCCCACACACGCTGGTGGTGGTTACGTGGTGTGTTGTGTGACAACGAAGAAGCGAAGTGATGTCAGCAAACAAAGGCCGATCTTTTTAACAACAAGGAGTCGTCTTCTGGTTAAGGCTCCCTAATTCTGCAGCTTACAGAAGCCTACAGTGATTTATGTATTTTTTTTTTTATTTCGTCAATTACCATACTGGGGTGAAATGTCTAGAAGGTATGACAGTATGAAAAAAATATATACCACCCAAGCATAAAATGAACTTATTGTACATAACGAGTTTATGAAAAAAATTGTGAATCATGGATTCCATTTGCATATGGTATACATATGGTCTCATGCATGAAAATGAATCACTTAAACTTTCACAGTGTTGATTTATTATGGAATTGGGCTTTCGAACGTTGCATTTTTTTGACCCTTTTAATGAGACACGTACTCTTCAGTTGGATAAACACATGTGACTGTGAGTGTGTCAGTCAGGGCCAGCAGAATTACACGCTATCCTTACCGAGTTACTGCTTTGGCAGTTACACATTGATACAACTGAGACACCCATGAAAAACGATCACTTTTGGACCAGTGGGAAAATTTGGGAAATGTCCTACATATACACACATCCACACACATATGTAAACATTAAAAACTGTCTTATTTCACTCCTAGCAATGCAGACCTGAACCCACAAATAGAGACCTCTCTGTTGGTTAATGGTTTACCTGTTTCCCAAGTTATAAAGAATAAAGACCTATTCTTTATAATAACACCAGGACATTAATGAAGCATGATGAGTGATATCAGAGGTGGATAGTTCAGGTCCAGAAAGTAAAAATCCAGACCAAGATTTTGTTTCAACCAACCAGTTGAGTATAAAAAGCCACAGTCACATAGTACTCAACTGGTTGATTGAAACAAAATCTTGGTCTGCATTTTCACTTTCTGGCTGTAAACAATCCACCTCTGACTGACATAATGAACGGTCTTCTCACCATTCCAGCTCTTCTGGCAATGACTGTGTGGAACTGGCCATCAGAAACCTTCTTCATGGTCATCAGTTTGAAGGTGCCACTTCCCAAGTTGAAAGAGAAGCGCATACGGCCCTCGAACACTTCCAGGGCGAGAAACTCGGCCTCCTCCCCGGTCTGGTTGTCATGGTTGTACAGTAAAAGGGCGTGGCTTTGGATGGTGGAGAACTTCATGTAGATGTAGTTGTTGTTTGGATCCAGAGCAGGGAACTCCATGTATGACAGTTCTTCAAAGCCATAGCTACTAAGTTCACAATTCTTTCCAAAGACACCTTGGAAATAATAATGGTGAATAATTCATGATGACTACAAAATGAACATAGCATTCCTTTAAGCTCAAATGCTAAATAACTTAAAATGCATGACTGAGTAACTGAAATGAAGCTAACTCTGTCTTTTATATCTGATCTTCAATCTATCTATTGAACTATTCATAAACATGTCATTAGCATATGAATATCTGTTTATTTGGAAAAAAAAACTGTCTATAAACACAAATATTTGAAGACTATTCAAGACAGGTGAGTGACAGAGAATAGGACATGATGTCACACTTGCACACAGTAGGCTTTCAAAACTGACCACATAGCTTAGCGTTCGGATGTAAAACAAAACCATCCTTTTAGCTCAAATGTCTTTACAAGACCCGCTGTCAGCTAATGCCAGCTGTTGCTCCTCTGACCCAAATGAACTCAGGCAGACAGTCTTCATTACCCTGGCCTACAACCAGGTTAGAAATGATCATTTTTGGCAGTTGTTCCATGCAGGCGAGCCAAGAGCTGAAGGTCTAGCCGATTAGTGCAATTACCACTTACCGAATGGACAATGACAGCGATATCCGTCCACATTGCTTTGACAGGATCCGCCATTAAAACAAGGATTGCATTCGCAGTAGTTGATTGCAGACTCACATGATGTACCTTGGATCACCGAACAATACGACACAAATTAGGACGAATGAAGCTGCACTAGTCAACACGGTCAAACTGGGAAAACACCCCCAGAGCATATTTTGGTGTGGATGCTGCAGCCTTTTGCTCACTCTCTCAATGACAAGGTAAATTATTTGGAACGTGAACTGACCTTATTTGTTATATGAGACCAAGTCAATTGATTCCAAGTATACTATGACATATCTGAAGTGTACGTGATCGTTAAATATTGAGAGATCAATGACAGACCTTTAACTAAAAGTCTGCCAGGTGAACTCGCAAGAAATCTTCTGAAAAAACATTTGAGCTAGGAGTTAAAATCCCTTAACTAATAATATCCAGCTGTATAACTGGGAAAAGTGTGAAAGGTAGACTGTGCAAGTCATTTTGGAAATGGCTATAGTAATGAAAACAACACATTTCCATATGCTGCCCAAAATTTCACGGTTCAGGATTTTTACTGAGAATTGAACAAAAACTATATTGGGATTTTATCTGGGACATAGGCAAGACGAATCAATATTACAAATAACTTGAAATAAACATGTATCATTCCATCCATCTTCTAACCACTTAAACACGACAGGGTCGCAGGGGGCCTGGAGCCTGGAGCACAAAGCTGGGGGGCACCCTGGACGGGATACCAGGCCGTCACAGAGCACATACATCAGGGGTGTCAAACTGCAGTCCTGGGGGGCCGGAGCCCTCTAGCTTAGTTTCACCACAAATGATTCAGCTCAAGAGCTGTATGGTAATTAGCACAAGGAGTTGAATCTGGTGTGTTAAATGAGGGGAAATGTGCAGGGCTCCGGCCCCCCAGGACTGCAGCTTGACAACAGTGATACACATGAACACATTCACACACACAATCATACACTGTGGGTCATGCAATTCAGAGATACCAATTAATCTATTAATCTAGCATATATTTGGACTGTGGGAGGGAATCTCAGACGAAACTCACAGAACATGGGGAGAACATGCAAACCACACACACAGAACATGGGGAGAACATGCAAACCACACGCACAGAACATGGGGAGAACATGCAAACCACATGCACAGAACAGGCAATATTTACAATACACTTTACAATACAGTTCCTTAGTAATGTAGTAGTAACTCATTTGCTACTTAGGTACAATCATAACAAAATATAGTAGCTATTGAGATAAAAGATGCATTACAATTCATTAATAATGAACAAGGTAGTGTAGAGACAAAGCATACCTGTGAATCCTGATTTACAGTGGCATTTGAAGGATCCAGGGTAGTTTTGGCAGAGTGCTCCATTCTGGCAGGGCTTGGACAGGCATTCGTTGATGTCCCGCTCGCAGGCCATTCCGGTGAAGCCCTCGAGGCATGTGCAGGAGAACCCGCCCACAAGATTGTGGCAGGTCCCACCATTGTGGCAAGGAGCTGGCCGGCACTCATCGATATCAGCATCGCACAGCATCCCCGCATAACCAGGCAGGCAGCTGCAAGCGTAGGGCTGTAGGGGCTGATTAGAAACTAGGATAATGGGCATGGTCTCCTCTACCTTCATCTCAGGCCCCACAGCAAGACGCCTCCTGCAGGAACCCCCATTCTGGCAAGGGTTGCAGGTGCAGGGATCATAGTCTACTTGATCAATTTCTACCCCACTCTTACGATGGAGGACATCCTTAATGCTCTGGAAAAATGTGGCTACGCCACTGGGGCGAACATACTGCTTATAGCCCCTCTTCACTGCCACCATCACATAGGTCTGGCTATCTCGTTCAAAAGCTCCATAGACCTGCACATTGGATCCGAGGCCAGCTAGTTGTGAGTTAGCCACTTGCATGAAGGCCAGGTAGCTGTTAGTGAGGAAGGTCTTTACAGTTGGGACACGGAGGCGAATCAGGATGCTGTTGTCAACAGTGGCGTTGCTGAAGCCCATGAAGATGACTTGCAGCTGGTTGTTGACGCTGCGATGCACGCCGTCACTGCTGTTGACTACCAGGTCAAAGGTTTCATCTGTGGAGCGGGCACTGGAACTGAGGTCACATGAGTCTGCTGAGATGGTAAAGATGCTGGCCCCACCCGGCATAAGAAAACAGCGGAAGACATCGTCCACATCAGGATCCTGGGGTTTCACACTGCCTAGAGAACCCTCAGGGAACATTGTCCCAAAATAATGCACAAAGATCGCCACTGTCCTGGACTTTGAGGGATTGTCATTTTGATCAGCAACTCTGATGTGAACTGTTCCCGTGGAGGACATTTGTGGGATGCCAGAGTCCCTGATTACTATGGGAAGGAAGAAATCGCTCACTTGTTCCCGGTCAATTTCTCGTCGTGTGGACAACAATCCACTGGGACTGAGGTCAAAATAGCTTGCCCATGAACCAGCAGCAACCAGACTATACGTATACGGCCCTTGATTCGGGGGTAGATCTGGGTCAGTGGACTGAAGGGTCATGACTGGTGTTCCAGGGTGTTGGTTCTCCAAAACCTCTCCACTGGTGGTCACAATAGTGGGGCCATTGTCGTTGACATCCTCCAGGGTCACAATCAGGGTGGCCCTTCCAGTCGCAGGAGGTGAGCCGGAATCCACAGCAAGTAGGGTGACATTGTAAACAGGTACAGATTCCCTGTCAAGCTCAGCTGCCACTGAAACCTGACCATTCTGAGGATTGATGGAGAAGTCAATCTTATCATTATCATTCGCTAATGAATAAGAGAATGCGTTCCAGCTTGGAATGGAGTCAGAATCCGTGGCAGAGACTGATATCACAATAGTGCCAATGGAAAGGGCTTCAGCCACTTTCACGCTGTATACCTCTGAGCTGAAGACAGGGGCATCGTTAGCGTCCAGAATGGTGATGTTCACCAATACCTCATCGATATCTGCTCCTCTTATGCATCCTGCATTCTTTGCCAGCACCGTCAGGGAGACTTTCTCCTCTTTTTCTCGATCAAGGTGGCCCATGATGTAAATTTGCCCTGTGGTCTTGTGTATCCCGAAGCCCTTCTTTCGGCTCTTCCCAAATATAAGATAGTGGACTTCTCCATCCTTTCCCAGGTCGCGGTCACTTGCAAAGACTTCCCCTACCACTGTCCCTTTGGGAGCTGCTTCAGATACCTCAAAATAATACAGCTTTGACACAAAGCGGGGGATGTATTCATTTACCCCTTTAAGCTGGACGTTGACATTTGCAAAGCTGCAGCGGTCTTCATCTGGGATGTTAAAAGCCTTCACGGTTAAATGGTACACTTGTTTGACTTCATAATCCAAGAAGCCCTGTGTGGTGATAATTCCTGTGTTTGGGTCAATTATGAACAAGTCGCTATCAGAGGACTGAATTACATAAGCTACTAAAGCATTTGCACCAGAGTCTTTGTCAGTCGCGTTCAATCTCATGACTACTGTACCACTGGGGACATTCTCTTGAACGGTTGGGAAGTACTCCTCAGAGTCAAAGGCAGGAGGGTTGTCATTCACATCAGTCACATGGATGGTGACCATGGCATAGCCAGTCCTTGCAATCCAACCTCCATCAGTAGCAGAAATCCTAAGTGTATGAGACTTCTTCTTTTCATAGTCCAAGGGTTGACTTAAGCTTAAGGCTCCTGTTGTGCTATTCAATGAGAAATAGTCTTCCTCATTCCCAGAGATGATGCCATATGTGACACGACCGTTCACTGCACTGTCCCCATCTCTCGCTAAGAGCGTCCTGATGGTGGTTCCAATGCTGAAGCTCTCAGGGACAGTGGCGGTGACATGGTTCTGTGAAAACTCTGGCGTGCTGAGGTTCTCTTCGGTCACCTGGACACGCACTGTAGCTTTGCATGAAAGTGGTGGATTACCATTATCTGTAGCTGTGATTTCAATGTGGAAACCTTTACTGACATCAGATGCCACTGATGAGGATACAGTAATCCAGCCACTCAGGCTGTCCAGATGAAACTTACTAGAGCTGTTGCCTCCTGATATTGAGTATTCCATCGTAGAGATCGGGCTGAAGTTATTATCATCACTGGCTCTCACTTGAATCAGATCTGTTCCAACTTTGGCGCTTTTTGTAACTGGTGTATAATAACTGGAGTATTCAAACTGAGGTGGGTTGTCATTTCTTTTCACAATGTTTACAGTGACGGTTGTCTCAGTCAATAAAGGTTTAGCTCCCCTGTCTGATGCTGTTACAATGAAATCATGGCGGTTCATGTTAAGATTGCCAGGTACAGTGGAATTTTTATATCTCAGGGGCTGTTTAATGAGGATCTCCCCAGAGCTTGTATTAATTTGGAAGAATTCAGTCGGTGATCTGATGAAATAGAACACTTGCCCATTAAAGCCTTCATCAGGGTCAGTGGCATTAACAAGAATCACAACTGACCCAACAGGTGCGAGTTCAGGATATTCAAGGTAGTAGGATGGCTTGCTGAACTTGGGGGTATTATCATTAACATCTGTTACAAATATCGTGACATCAGTGTTAACAGTCCAGCCCGAGTCATGAGCTGATACTTTAACAATGTAGCGATCAGTGACTTCTCTATCCAAAGGACGTCTAATGCTAATGTCACCAGTTTCGGAATTAATAGCGAAAGGAAGACTGGTACTGGAGATGGAGTAATGGCTTACTGCGTTTGCTCCCGCATCTTCGTCTGAGGTTGTGACACGTGTGACTGTATAGCCGATCGGGGCACTTTCAGGCACCGTGGCACTGAAAATCTTGGAGAACCTTGGGCTGTTGTCATTCACATCCAGAACTGTTATGATAACGTCAACTGTTGAGCTTTTTGGAGGGGTACCTTGATCTGTTGCTTTGACACTCAATACAAACCGAGCTGTTTTTTCTCGATCCAGAGGCCTAGTGGTTCGGATTTCTCCAGTAGATTGGTCAATTACAAAGCAGTTCTCATTGTTGCCAGAGATGATGGTATAATCTATTTGACCGTTAGGCCCACTGTCATGGTCAACTGCTGACACTACAACAACTCTCTGTGGTGAAAGATTTTCTAATAGCTGGGCTTGAAAAGGCTTTTGTTCAAATACTGGATAGTTATCATTGACATCTAGAACGGTTATATCTACCTTCTTGTATGAGGAATAAGGGGGGAACCCTTGGTCCCTAGCCTCGATCCAAAGCACATAATTCTGGATTTTCTCAAAATCCAGAGCATTCTTGATAGATAATTCTCCAGTTTGCTGGTCCAAATAAAATGCACTGTCAAGATTTCCACTTGCAACGTAGTATGTTAAATCCCCGCCTCTTTTGGAGAATCCTGTGACTTTCGTAACAAGTGTTCCTGTTGCTTGACTCTCAGGGAATGTGAAAGCAGACTGCCCTGGTTTTATGACTGGGAATTCCCCTCCTGACGCAAACCTGACAGTGACTGTGGTTGTGTCAAACTTGGGGTTGTCCCCACGGTCTTTCACACTGACGGTGAGGGTGACCTCCTTGCTGGTTATCAGCTTTTCATTGGCTGTGATGGTGCCTCTTGCCTGGTCAATGTGGAACTTCTCAGAGTGCCCACCAGTCAAGGAATAAAACAGCTGTGAGTTGGATCCTGCGTCGTCATCTGTCACGGTCACAGCAAACACTAAGGAACCTGTGCATAATAAAACAACGACGGCAGCTAAATTATTATTGAATTCATATACAGTAGAGTCTCGCTTATCCGATATTCCGCATTACCCGACGTCCCACCGCAAAAAAACCCCAACAAGAACTGCAAGTTGCGAGCGTGAGCGTGAGTGTGAGCGTGAGTGTGAGTGTGATCGTACTCTATTTTTTGTTGCTCCCGACTCTACCACAGCTAATTAGTTACCCCGACTGTACAGTACATCCTGTATTTAATGTCAGACAATTCTGTAACTGTAAGTTCATTTTTTCAGTTAATTCTTTCTATTGTTTTGTTGTAAAACATGATTATTTGGTTTGTAATGTGTAAAATTATAAAATAGTTTGACGTTAAATAGGCTTTGTCTTAACACCTCCCATTATCCGACATTTTTGCTTATTTTTCTGCTGGCCTGTTTATGTCGGATAAGCGAGACTCTACTGTATGTAGAATATTTCATTATTTAACACACCTGATTCAGCTCCTTGTGCTAATTACCACACAGCTCTTGAGCTGAATCATTTGTGGTGGAACAGGGAAAGAGCTAAGCTACACAGGGCTCCGGCCCCCCAAGACTGGAGTTTGACCCCCCTGCCGTACAGGGTCCCCGAGTTGGAGGTCCTAGTGGGTATCCCAGACAGCACAGGACATAAAATAGGACAACACCCCAAATAAAATGCCAGTCCATCACAGGACACACCAACAACTCAAATGTTCAAAAGCTAGCTTTAAAGTTGCTCAGTTTTTTTGCTAACAAAGGTTTGGGTTACTATTTTATAATGTATTATATATATTATTCTGTCGCAATTTGATATTAAATATTAATTAAAGTATAATTCTTTCAATTGTATTTTGATGAGGATTCATGTGATATTGGCTATTACTGTCTGGGACGGTTGGTAGTGAGTCTGCTGTTAGCAGGACTCACCTGCAGGGGTGGGTGTTGGCACGTGGGTGACGTAGGGGTGGTAGTGGAAGCGAGGCGGGTTGTCGTTGACGTCGCCCACCTCCACCCGGACGGTGGCGGAGCCCGAGGCAGGACGGGGCAGCCCACCATCGGATGCCAGCACTACCAGCATGTAGTAGCTCTGGACCTCACGGTCCAGCAGAGCACTGGTTATGATCTGGCCTGTCGTGGGGTTGATGGAGAACTGCCCATGCCCTCCTGACAAGCTGTAGCTGGAGAAGAAAAAGTGAGAAGAATTATCCATGGAAATTATACTCCATCCATGTGACTGTGTTTGTAAAGGGAACCCAGAAATTTACAGAGAGGAAATACCAGAATGGTCACATAGGGGCCCCCACTGGAAGACTGTCCTGTGTATAGTGCCCTCATTTGTGCTAGAATATTCCAGTAGACGCTTATATTTCTTCAGAATGTAAAACAATGATTAATTATTCCGAGCAAAATATTTAACTTTATTGCTCAATGTTCAAGCCAAATAATTTCTAGAACGGAGCAATACGAATCCAGTGTCCTCTGCAAGAAAATGTGCTACAGTTGAACTGCATACTAAGTTTTCATGTGGCTACTTTCCGTTTTGGTGTAGCGGTGAAACACTGTGCTCAGCAACATTTTACAAAATAAAGAAATTTAAAAATTTGTGACATAGTTATCTATGTATACACCCTGCAAGGTCTTCCATATAACCATATAAAACAAACAAAAATTGAAAACTTGGATGGAAAAAAAAGACTTAATGATGTGGGAAAACAGGAGGTAAAAGATTATGACTCATTTTGTGCTTTATTAAAGCCATAATGAGCACTGATTGTTCTGTCACTGCCAATTAACATCTTCATTATTCCGTTTGCTAATCCCAAGGCCCTCCTCCTAACCTAAGCCTGGGACACCCCAGCGGGGGGGGGGCAGACTGGAAGCCCCAGCACCCAGGGAAACCTCCCTCTCACACCCCCCCACCTGATGGCGGCGTTGAGGCCAGCGTCGGAGTCAGAAGCGGCGACCAGCAGGACGTCGGCACCCGTGGGAGCGTCCTCTGCCACGGAGGTATGGAAGGAAAGCGAGGAGAACTGGGGCCCATTGTCATTGACGTCACTGACGAGGACGGTCACCGTGCCAGAGCCACTGAGAGGTGGAGACCCTGCAGAAAACATCAACACGGGGGTGGGGGTTGTTTCTGGATCAATACATTCTCCTGAAAGAGTGGGGGAGTCTAA